CAATTCCATTAGCTCCGCTTTCAGGTTCACTACCATTTGCTTCTCAACTTGTGTTAAAGCTCTGTTTTCTGCTGTCTGATCTAAAATTGAGAGCTCCTCCAAGGCCTTGGTTCTTTTTGCTTCCACTTTGCCACAGACATCTNTCTTTTTGCTTCCACTTTGCCATAGACATCCCTGTTCCAGTTGCTTAAGTCCTTTTTTAAATTCCTCAATTTTTGTACTAGTATAAAATCTGGGCTGCCACTTATGACGTAACTCTGCCACCACTCCTTCACCATGTCAATGAACCCTTCTTGTTGCAGCCACATGTTTTCGAACTTGAAATAAGAAGGTGTTGTGTCCCATTCCCCACTCTCCAGCAGAAGAGGTTTGTGATCAGATAGAGCTCTTGGGAGGGCCAACTGATTGATTGCTTTGAAGCTTTCATTCCACTCAGAGGATATAAGGAACCTATCAATCCTAGAGGCCTGTAAACAATCCTCCCCCCTTGCCCAAGTGTATTGTGCCCCTTGGAGAGGTAAATCTAGTAGCTGCAGGTCCATAATAATGTCTGAAAAACTCCTCATAGCCCTGGATCTTCTAGTGCAGTTGAGTCTTTCATTTTCGAATCTACATACGTTAAAATCCCCTCCAATCACCCATTGTTCAGTCCATATACCTCTAACAGCTCCTAGTTCATGCCACAATTCCTTCCTCTCTGCATTGGTGTGTGGACCATACACACCTGTGAAAGCCCATCTGAAATCTTCTTGTAAACTATCAAGAAAGCATGTGATTGAGAAGCTGCCTTGGTGCGAATCATTACATTTCCAAAGCCTTCTGTCCCACATAACTACAATACCACCCCTGGTTCCAGATGCCTTTAGTTCTGCCCATTCAACCCATCTATTCCCCCATATTTGATAAAACATACTTGCAGGAATGTCTTCCATTTTAGTTTCCTGAAGACACACAATGTCTGCTCTCCATTCTCGAACTAATGAGCCGAGAGTGCTCCTTTTATTCTTTTCATTAAGTCCCCTAATGTTCCAACCGAGAACTTTGACTTTCATCTGGGTGCTGCTTTGTAGTACCTGCCCCTACCGCTTCCGCATTTCCTTTTAATTATTTCCTCAATTCGTGCATCTTCCCATCCTTTTGTGTTGTCAACGTTCCTCAACAAAATGAGCAATTACACAAGCAAAGTCAGTTTCAATGATAGAGATGATGTCCTCCATAAAGTAGCTCAACACAAATTTGATTCAAGGGCCATGAGGATTCATTTTCAAGAGCCATGAGGATTCATTTTCAAGAGCCATGAGGGAGGTCTCTGAAATAATAGATGTTAATTGTGTTATTAAACAAGTACCAGCTAAGAGTACCAACAGCAACCACTATGTTGCTGAAACTTACAAAGATAAAACAATCACATCCACCATTAAAGTCTCAATCCTATCTAGCACCATACTTCTCCCAAGTCAACAATGGCAAACCTCTAACTTTTTTAAATTAAAGAATGGGTTTCATAACAAAATAGCACACAATAACGATGTAGTACTCTTTATTTCCTCCATCCGGAGACTTGACCCACTTCGATAGCTTGAGACGTTTTTGACAAGTTAAATGGAAAAAAGGTTGGCATCATGACAGAGAAAGTATCTATCTTTAGGTGGCAGGTTGACTCTCATAAACAATATCTTGGATAGCATCCTCACCTATTTTATGTCACTCTTCCCTTTTCCAGCTAAGGTGCAGAAGCAGCTAGACAAAATCAGGAGATCCTTTTTATGGGAAGATAATAACCAGGGTCACAAGTTTCAGCCGGTGCAATGTCCCAAGGTTATTCTTCCTAAATCACTGGGAGGGCTTGGAATGAAGGACTTGGCAGTTCACAGTAGAAGCATGCTAATGAAATGGCACTGGAGATACAATCAAGAAGAGGTTGGCCTTTGGAAAGATGTAACCACAGCTAAGTATGGATGCTCCAACCACTAGTGTACCAAACCTGTCGGGACACTTCATGGTACTGGGCTATGGAAGAGTATAATTGCCCTTCTGGATCAGTTCTCATCCAACAACTCTTTCCGGGCGGGAAATGGGGTCAAAATAAAATTATGGAAGGACAAATAGATAGGAAAAACACCACTAAAAGAAACCTTCCCCAGTCTGTTTCTTATTGTAAATAACCCTGACTCCTCCATAGCACAAAACAGGGAGGGCAACACTCGGAGCCCATCATTGAGAAGCATCTGCAGGATTGGGAAATTGATGACTTAATGGCTCTTCTTGGAACTTTGGAGTCTCATCCAGTGAACAACCGAGCAGTATATAGATTGAAGTGAGGTAATACTAGAGGAGTATACTCAGTTAAGGCAGTCGATGCAGAGATGAGCTACAACAAAGTTCTAACATACCTATGGCCTTGGAAATTAATTGGGAGGACTAAGGTTATGTGTTTTTGCTGGGAAGTATTAAATGGAGCATGCTTAACCCAGCATAACCTAACTAAAAGAGGTTTCCAACTAGCCAATGATGCAACATGTGCCACACACGTTCAAAGTCCATCCCACAATTGTTCATTCACTGCCACCTAGCTGCAGATATCTTGAAGTTCTTAACCATTTTTGTACTGAACTGGTCTATATCCAATTCAGTCGGAGAGCTTTATGAAGCATGGGGTCTCAGGCGAGCTGACAAAGCCATCAAGCACATCTGGCTCATGGTGCCAGCCTATATCTTTTGGTGCATTTGGATTGAAAGAAACCACAGATGTCTTGATGGTATTTCAACTCCTACAAGCTATCTGAAAGCTTGATGTTTGGTTAACCTTTTTGGTTGGGTGAATCATTCTCCTGTAAATTACTCTGATATGTTTCTGGATTTGTCAGCTCCTTAGCCTTATGATAGTCTTTTTTGTATTACAGCTGACATTTTTCTTTTTTTGCAATTTAAGCATCTTCTTGATGCATTTTGAAGACATTTCACCTACCTTATCCAAAAAAAAGGAAATAATAATAATTATAGCCTCAAATGCTAAACCGTCTCAAAAACAAAAAAAAAAAGACACGATTAAGGCACACAAAAGAATAAAGGGAGAAATCTCTGGCTAACCAGCTTGATAAGACGCTGACGATTTTCTCCCGGCATCAAAAGCTGCAAACAAAATATTCCCAACATATCAGTATGATAAGTGCCGTAAAAGAACTTTAAAAATTTCATTGCATAAATTAGCAAGTGGATTGACAAGGAACAAGAGGCAACTAGACTATGAAGTAATGATGATCTCCCATACAAATAAAAAAAAAAAGAGGCTTATCCAAATTTTTCTCTTGTTTGATATGTGAAACCAAAAGAATTATATAAGCCATATTAACATGTGTAGAGTAATTTTATGAAAATTATGTCGAAACTAGGGTCGGAACTTGAACTGTAGAACCTTTGCTCTGGAATCTGGATTGATTTCGAAGGATTGATTTTCTTGGAAAACAATTAAGCATTTGGAAATAGTTTTAGAAGAACAGGTTTTAGCTTAAGAAAAAATCAGGATAGTATTGCAATTTTGCAATTGTCAAAAAAGACAGGCAGCATTGCAATTGAAAAGGGGGCCTTCTTTGGATAATGGACGACTCCTTCGTTTTTAGCCAAGCTGCAGGTTTGTTTAGAAACCAAATTTTGGTTTCTGAACCAAATGGTCCCTTTAATAATTAAAAGGATCCTTAGATGAAGAGGCCATCTGAATCCGAAAGCCAAATTTTCCATAAAAGAATAAGACATGTTGATAGTTGGTTTAATACCAAAATCATCACGGTCTACATCTGTATCATTAAATGAATTCTGATTCTTGTAATTTGTGGGAGTTGTACAGAATATCGCCCATACATACGTGTCACAAATCTTGAGAACATTTCAAAGAAAAGTGTCACTTGAATTACTACTAATCATGCTTCCTTCATTCTTTTATCCGGAGCACAGATTCCACTACTCTCTATATAAAAGATTTGCAAGGCTTTAGAGTACAAATAGACAATAGGAAAAAAAAACACAAAATCACATAGCGGACTTTTTGAATGCTTTTCTATCTTATATATGGTAGATATTATGGTTACCAAGATGCTGCACTATACTTATGGGGACTAGTTACTTAAATCTCCTCTGCAGATAACTCTGTGGAATTCAAAGTACATGGCCATCTCGTACCTTCTAAATGTGTAACAAAACTATCCGATATCATGCTAGTCTTACTTTTACAAGTACTGCATGTTACTTTTTTTTCCTTTTTTTGATTTACCAAATATTGGCTAGAGTTATCATTTTGTCATTTGAATTTATAATTTATTTTGTACTTTCACTACGAAGCCTTCTCTAAAAAAAAAAAAAAGGAGCAGCACGGTGCAATAAGCTCGTCTGGGGAAGGACCGGACCACAAGGATCTATTGTACGCAGTCTTACCCTGCATTTTTGCAAGAGCTAAGGGTTCTTTAACAAGAACAACAACAACGGCCCAGTATAATCCCACAAGCGGGGTCTGGGGAGGGTAATATGTACGAAGACCTTACCCCTATTTCGAGGGGAAAAGAGGTTGTTTCCAGGAGACCCTCGGCTCAAGAAAGCAACAAGAGACGATATATGAGTACCATTAATAGACTCATAATAAAATAACAGCAATATACGAGATACGGAATACGAAATACGAAATAGATAAATGGTATAGTAAAACCAGCAGATAACGCCCTGCATCAGTAGACGACCAGTAGCATCCTCAGACTAACTCCTAACTGGCTAGTCTCACTCTATTGTGCTGTAGAAATATTCACAACTTTCCTCTAACCTACAATCTTAATGCTCGACCTCCACAATTCCCTGTCAAGGGCCATGTCCTCAGTAATCCTAAGTCACGCCATGTCTTGTCTGATCACCTCTCCCCAATACTTCTTAGGTCGCCCTCTAACTCTTCTCGTGCCCACCACAGCCAGCCGCTCACACCTCCTCACCGGTGCATCAGTGCTCCTCCTTTGAATGTGTCCTTCCCGCATCTTGTCCTCCATGGGAGCCACGCCCACCTTCTCTCGAATAACTTCATTCCTAATCTTATCCATCCTTGTATGTCCGCACATCCACCTTAACATCCTTATCTTTGCTACTTTCATCTTCTGGATGTGTGAGTTCTTAACTGGCNCTATACGGTGTGTGACATCCTCGTCGATCTCCCCGATCCCCTGAATAACCGATCCAAGGTACTTAAAACTACCCCTCTTGGGAATGACTTGAAAGTCAAGCCTCACTTCCACTCCCGCTTCCGTCGGCTCAACCCCAAATTTGCACTCGAGGTATTCCGTCTTCGGCCTGCCCAACTTGAAACCTTTAGACTCAAGAGCATGTCTCCAAATCTCTAGCCTCTCGTTGACGTCGCCTCGTGTCTCGTCAATTAGAATAATGTCATCAGCAAATAGCATACACCATGGCACCTCCCCTTGAATATGATGAGTTAGTGCATCCATCACCAGGGCAAATAGGAATGGGCTGAGCGCAGACCCTTAGTGCAACCCCGTAACAATTGGAAAATGCTTGGAGTCGCCTCCTACTGTCCTAACCCGAGTCTTAGCTCCAGCATACATGTCTTTAATCACCCTAATGTACGCAACCGGGACCCCTTTATCCTCTAAGCAGCTCCATAAGACCTTCCTAGGAACCTTGTCGTACGCTTTCTCCAGATCAATAAACACCATGTGGAGATCCTTCTTCCTATCCCTGTATTGTTCCACCATTCTCCTAATAAGGTGGATAGCTTCTGTGGTAGGTCACCCCAGCATGAACCCGAACTGGTTGTCTGAAATAGACATCGTCCTTCGCACTTCATTTCTACCACTCTCTCCCAAACTTTCATGGTATGACTCAATAATTTGATACCCATATAGTTGTTACAGCTCTGGACATCACCTTTGTTCTTATACAACGGAACCATTATACTCCACCTCCACTCTTCAGGCATCCTATTAGTCTTGAATATAACATTAAACAATCTAGTAAACCATTCCAAGCCTGCTCTACCCACACACCTCCAAAGTTCAACCGGAATTTCGTCTGGCCCGGTAGCTCTGCCCCTTCTCATCTTAAGCATTGCCTCCATGACCTCATCGATCTCAATGTCCCTACAATTACTTAATTCATGGGACTGTCGGCATTCCTCAATTCCCCTAGTACAATATCCTGATCCCCTTCTTCACTTAGAAGTTTATGAAAGTAGGTCTGCCACCTCCTCTTAAATTCATTAAGGGCTCTTTAACAAAAAGTAAAATTAACTGATTTCACATGCAGTCCATAATTTCAATATCCTTCTAACATGTGGATGAAAGATGTATGCAAGAAAGTTTATTATGTAGAAACAACGCTAGAAATAGAAAAATAGAAGTTATTTCAATTGAAGGGTTTTTTTTGGTTGGGGGGGAGTTACCAGAAATGAAATGATATGGGAGAGCATTAGCTCTTCCGAGAAGTCCTTTACATGATTGCCTTGAATAATTTTCAATTGAAATTATGTATTGTAGCAACATTATTGAAAAGAGATTTTTCAGAAAATCTTCTACCTTTTAAAGTAGAGTGACTATATAATAAAACTGTATTTCAAGAAAAATTATATGTTTAAAATCCTTTATTAGAAACTATGACAAGTGAAATTTGAATAATTTTCCTTCAAAAAAATGTCTATGCATTTCAAATGTCAGAAAAATTAGTCCATTCACATCATCAAAACTAGTCAAGTTACACAACCTAAAATGTGGCAATTATTATAGTATGAAAAATCAAGGAAAATTCTCATAATTAAGATGAAGAATACAGGAAGTTTGTGTTACTTTAATAAGGAAATCGTTCAACAAGCACAGCTTTGCTAGCCCAAGATATTGCTCCCTGTGTTGCACAAAGTAGCAACCAATTTCTGTGGTAAAAGTAGCACTATATAGAGGGGGTGTAAGAAGAATCAGCTAACTGTGAGGGGAATAGAAATCGAGACTAGAATTCCCAAATTTCAGTATCTCGAACAAGAAGAAGTTAACCGTCCAAGAGATAGACATTGACACTTGCATTCTTTATTTTATTCTTGTAATTAGGATAAGGAATACCGGAAATTTGTGTTATAATAATAAGAAAATCATTTAACCAAACAGAGTTGCTAGCCCAAGATATTGCTCCTCATGTTGGACAAAGTAGCAACCAAATTCTATGGTAAAAGTAGCGAAATTGAGGGGATGGAAGCAGAATCAGATACCTTTGCAAGGAATAGATATTGAGACTCGCAGTCCCTTCTGCAGTTTCTCGAGTGAGATGAAGATATAGCACAAGGGAGCTTAAGATTACCCGCGGGGGAGGGGGGAGTTCGTTGGGATAACGCAGAACCTTCAGAATAATATATAATGCCATTATAAAGCCGATATTCGACTGAATATGCTATTCATCAAACTAAGCTAGTCCGAAGAAATAGAATTCATAGAACTCTTATAAGAAATTTTATGTTTCGTGTTTGAAGTTTGTAAGCCAAAATCAAGTGGTGTTTATTTAATGTCTAAAGCATTAAGTAAATATGCGGCAATAAATGTTAGAGAAAATGCACGTGATGCATATAAAGATAACCCTTTCATCGCATTTTATTCATCCATTTTCGCTTCTTAAGTCACAGAAAGTGATAATTAAGATTTTACTTTTTTTACAACCGAGAAATCCCGAAGAGCTGGGTGGGGTATGGTTCTAAACTCGGTGGATAACGGGACCAGGGTTCTACGCCTTCTCCGCTTAAATACCAGACTTTTATCTACGGTAGGGTTAGTGCTCATTAAGGTTTTAAAATGTACTAAGATATCTTTTTTTAAAATGTACTAACATATCATTTTAAATGGATTGGAGTACTTGGAACTAATAGGACTTCTCATTTAGTTTCGAGATCGCAACATTTCATTTCCTAACCTGACGTATCAATGTCAAACAAGTCCAAAATATGGTCAAATTGACTTGAAAAGGTACACAATTAAGGACAGTAATTTCAGGATTAAGACAGTAGAACAAAAAGAAGAAAGTGGAATATGAAAACTCACATCCTGAGCCATTTGGCTAACAATATCAGCCAAACTCGACCCTAGCTCCTCCTGGGAAGCATAATCCACAAACTCCACAGACTCCAATGCCACTTTACATTTCTGAATGGGCAATTCACCACAAACCTAAAACGGCCCAAAACAATCAATCCACAAACCTCCTCAAAGTAATAAACCAAAGTCCATCAACGTTAACAAAAATATCCTTTAAGCGCCTGTTTGGTTTGAATTCTTTTACGTGATCTAATCAGTATGTTTCTAAATCAGTAAACTTACAAAAAGAAAATACTACTTTGTAGGAAATAACCATCTATTAATTCAAGAATCAATTATCTAATAATCAGCTGTTTCATTCGTAAAATATCAGTTTGTTAGCAAAAAGGCAACTAATATTTCAAAACAAAACAAAAAGATGAAATTTTTACCCAATTACATAATAATGAGGAAGTTTTTGGGGGGCTAGAAAAGCAAACATGAATAAAAGAATACCATAACGGAGCAGAGCTCATAGAGAAAGCGAAGAGTGGGAAGTGGTTCAGAGAACTTGAAGCTGCTGTTGCCATTTTTCAACTCTTTGATGCACTCCTCTGTAACGTACAAAAACTCCAAACCTGAAACTGACATTCTTTCCGTACTAGCTTTGCTGGTTAAGAAGATAAAGCCGTTGAGAATTGAAAAGAAAACCCAAACCCTAATTTGAGGGTTTTTCCATGACAGAGAGTGATTCTCTAGGGTTTCAGAGAAAATGGTGTGTCAAGAAATTTCCCAATTCCTCTTTTTTACTGGTTTTTACGATTTAGCTCATTTTGGTGTTGAAAAGGCCGTCGGCATCTTCTCACCCCACCCCAGCCCACCCACCTCATTAATACTTATTAGATGATTACAAAATTTTGTGAAATTTTGAATTTAAAAGCAAATATATTTTACATGAAGAATACCCACCTTACATAGAAAATGAGAAACGAATCACACCTCGGCTATGAGTTTTATGCAATATTTTTTTTTTTTGCTAAAATGGAAATATTATTAAAAGCTAAGAAAAACAGGTAGTATAGTTTGTACATGTGGGGAGAGTTCTTCTTATACAAGTGTTTGAACAGTCTTTATTGAAAGCAAGTAAAGCATAAGACGGTGGTTCTTCGTAGTGTAGCGGATGACAACGGTGTTTGCAAGTACAAGGAGCTAAGGTCATGCCATGTTTTGCCAGAAGATCCGCTACATTGTTTGCTTCGCGATATATATGCTTAAGTTTCGGTTGTCGCAATTGTATCATCAATAACATGCAATCTAAAATAAGAGGTAAGTAAAGATCAGAACCTGTGTCAATCATTATTTGCAGTACCTGGGAATCTGTTTCTATCTGTAGTGGATAGAAGTGAAAGTCCTAAACAATTTGCAATCCTACTAACAAAGCATGTAGTTCTGCTTCAAGTGCGGATGAGCAAATGCGATGAGTAATAAAACCTCAGATCCATTGACATTGATGGTCTCGAAACATTCCCGCAGCACCTGCAATTTTGGTGTTGGAGTAAAAGGCACCATCAATATTTAATTTAAGTAAATGTGGGTGGGAGGGTGCCATTTAATATATTGAGCAGCCGATATATGAGGTAAGGCAGTGGGTGTTCTTAGATAGTGAAATTCTATCACATGGAACATAATATTTTTACCGAGACAGGATCGTATAAATTGTGGAAAAGCTTATGGTTGCGAGTAGTCTAGATGTGCCAGTAGTCCAGATGTGCCATAGAATGAAAGGGACAAGTTGAGCTGTCGGAACTTCAATTCCATGGTAGATAAATGGAAGGTGGGTGCGTGTAAACTGCTCTTTAAGCCATTCAGAGAAAGATGTTGCATGCAAGTTAATAGGGAAAAAGTTCTATACAATATGAGAATTGATGCATTCAAAGAATAAGTGTTGGAGGGATTCGATTTTAGTAGGACACGAATGACAGAAAGGGTGGGGAAGCATATTAATAAATGAAAGGTATGGAACAATCGGTAGTCTATTTAGAAGTACTAGCCAAAGAAAAGTTTGAATTTTAGGTGGGATATGGAGGGACCAAACCCATTGAATATTTGGTGGATTAGCAGGCATATTGCAACGGGTGTTAAGATATAATTGATATGCGGATTTAGCAGAAAAGAAACCTGAATGGTTTGGAAACCAACAAAAGTCATCAGTGTGTGATGAAGTGGGATTAAAGCAAGTATTATGGATGAGAAGTGAGATATTTGCGGGTAGTTCTAAGGAGAGGACAAAAATATTCCAATTTCCATTATGAAGAAGGTGATATAGTGTAAGAGATTGCTTAGTATGAGTAAAGGACCGTAAATAAGATTGCGAAGAGGAGAATTTGGAAGTCAAATGTCATTCCAGACGTTAATGATTGTGCCATTGCCGATGTGCCATTTAAGGCCTTGTGCAAGGAAAGAGTTGCCTTGAAGAAGAGCTCGCAAAATGGAGGAGGTTCTTCGCTGTAGAAGATTAGATGTGCAATTTGAAGAAAGGAGATTATATTTAGCAGTTATGACTCGGGCCCACAGGGATTTGGGATGACGGTAAAAACGCCAAGCTAATCCAGCAATAAGAGCTAAATTCTTACCCCTGGATTTGTGGATCCCCAATCCACCATAGGCACAAGGTAGCGTAACTTGTTCCCAGTTAACAAGATGAATTTTATGTTTAGTAGTGGTGGATCCCCATAGAAAATTTCGTTGAATTTTATGTTTCCTCTCTCAGCGTTCTTGTCTCAAATCGAGCCTAAGAATATCAAAGAAGCATTGAAAAATGTTAACTGGATAGCTGCTATGCAAGAAGAACTCCATCAGTTGAGAGGAACCAAGTGTGGCCCTTGGTCCCTAGGCATTTATACAGAATAGTGATTGGAACCTGGCCCAAAACACTCTCACTTGAAGGGTGCCAAAGGAAGTTTGAGGTATCCTAAGGGAACGCAAAACCTGGTCCTCGTCTATTGTTCAGGAGATTCTTTCGATTTGGTTGGATATGTTGATGCTGATTATGTTAAATATCTGGTGGACAGAAAAAGCACTTCTAGAATGGCACATTTTCTAGGGTCATACTTGATCTCATGGGGTACAAAGAAACAAACTGTGTGGCTCTTTCTACTACTGAAGCTGAATACGTGGTTGCTGCTTATTGTTGTGCTCAACTACTACTGATCAAGCAACATCTTGAAAACTTTGGTTCATTTACAGCTTGAACCCGGTAAAACACAAGAGGACAAAGCGCATTGATGTGCGACCTCACTTTTTGAGGGATAATGTATAAAAGGTTCTAATTTGTATGAATTACTGGAAGATGGAGGACCAGGTAGTAGACATCTTCACCAAGGGGCTGACCAGGGAACATTTTGAAAGAAATCGTCTGGAGTTGGGGTTAATCAAGCTCAACTAAGGACCCGGTCCCTCGATGATTGGCTATGTTAAGAAGAAAGTACAATTCTAAAAAGTGTTTTTCGACGACATCTAACTCAAATATATACTGTTACAGGTATACACATATGGTAGTTTCAGGATAAAAACAAGTAAGAGTGACATTGCACTTCTAGAAGTCTTTGCTTAAATTTTCAAAAAACTATCAAGGAACCTGGTTCCTGCGACTCAGGTTAGTGGTCTCTTCAATACTTATATGCCTTTTTAAGCTACTAAAGTGTCATGTCGTTAATTTATTCCCGCCTTTCTCCTCCCTCGCTCCTAATTTTTGAAGTCCAAAATGTTAAACCTCTTCTGAACTGACCCGTTGCCCCAAAAACCACTTTTATCTTACACCCAACCAAAACCGATTCTTTTCTTCAAAACCAAAATCAACCTTGTCTCAAAAGAATCATTCTCTCTAAATATGCCAGAAGTGAACTCAACTCTGTCACTTTCCAAAATCCTAACTCCATCTGAATCGAAACCCCAAGAAGTCTTTGGTAGATTTTGATTGAAGTTTAACTGAAAAGGAAAAGGGTAGATCTAATATTCTAGAGCGTGAGGCTGAAATTGTTGCTGGATTTGTGGAAGTCTTGAAGGATGGAGAAATTGGTAAATGTGAGAACTGAATGAGGAACCTAATCCCTCAAGTCCTTCTCAGGAAGTCAGTTTTAATGATGATCTTTTTCTTTTTGAGTTCTGTGTTTAAACGAACTTCCAATCCAGAAAAGTAGGCTAATTGATGATGAAGTGGTGTGACTTGCTGATGTGATTGTGAAAGAATGAATTAAAAAAAATGGGAAAAGAAAGTTGACTAAGAAAGAACAGCAGATGATAAGGGTAAACATATTGAGAAGAAAAAGAGGGAGACATGACTGCTCAGGGATAGAAAGGGTGGTGTAAATGAGGAACCTGGTTCCTTACAGAAGCAAAAGGTTGAGTTATCAGGTTTGGAGAGGTAGAAGACTCTGAAGTCTCGAAAAAGTGTTGTTAGGCAGAGTGTTGACTCTGATATTGCTGAAAAATGGAGGAACTTCTTGACATTGTTGAGTTCCAAAAATAGAATCACCTCTTTGTTCCTCCAAGTCCCAACATTTATGAAGAAGAAGTAAAAACTTCTATGTTTTATGTGATATTATGATGCTATATGTGCATGGGACTGAGTTTGTTCTTAATGAGAAGAAGCTTGGGGAGATTCTTAGTGCTCTGATTGATGGTTCAGCCTACTCAGATAAGTTAAGAACCGGGTCCTCGTGGACCCTTGGCAGAATGGAATGCTATGTTGAAGGGTGAGAATGAAAGTTTGAGGTAACAAGTGGAGGAATTGAGAGAGCAGATGAGCTTGTCCATTCCTTATCCCATTACTTTTCCTCCTGCCTAGTGATCCATGTCTTTCACTCCTTCCAAAGTCCCTTGAATTCTTATCTTCTTTTGATTCATATATTTGATGACATTAGTACTTTGGTTGTTTAAATTGTCGTATTATGTATTGTTGAAACTACTGTGCTTTTATTGAAGTTACTATACTATGGGCAATCACTCTATTTTGTGCAATGACATTCACTTGTTGTTCTTGTTATTGTTTATGTTGTGTTGCCCAAGTGGCATGAGTTAATGTTGCTGAACTTCTTTCTGGTTGTGCTTCTTCTGTTATTCTTTTCAATGATGCCAAAAGGGGGAAGTTATATAATGTCAACACGAGGGAGGAACAAAATCAAATTGATATGTTATTTTGTGCATTAAAGATAGCTTTGCTTCGTAGGGGGAATGCGCAATGGGAACGCTGCTGATAATATGTTGATTATAGTTCTGATCTGCAGGGAAACATTAAGGAATCTGGTTCTCAAGGGGAATACTATTTTTGGGTTTGTCATCATCAAAAAGTGGGAAATGATAAGTTATGGTATCTTGAGTTTTGATGATTTGCCAAACAGTCTTGAGGAACCAGTTATGATCAGTTCCTTAGGTTTGGTTCTTAGGGGGGATATGGCAGATTCATAGGGGGAATAATGTGGAGATCCGGCTCTCAGGGGGAATATCAATTCTATGATTGTCATCATCAAAAAAGGAGAAATTGATAGGTTACAAGTACTTTGGGCATAAGTACTTTACTTTATGTTTTGATGATCTAACAAACTTACCATCCAGAACCAGATAAGGAACTTGTTATACATTACAAAGTTCTAGGTTGGGATCTAGCGTGAGATATAACTAAACTCTTCAGAGTGGAAGGAACAGCTGAGGGAACAGGTCCCTACCAGTTCTCGAGGAGACTGTATAAAGTCAACTCTCCAATTGGAAAGTTGTTGCCTGCATACGCTACTATACAGGAACAATGCAACAGTCAACTTTTTGTGGAATGCTTTTTACCAACCTTGCTTACATCATTATAAGT